TGATTGAAAATGAACACAACGGAGATCTAGTCCTATTGGCAGACATCCATTTAAAATGCATGAAAAAAGTGGTTTCTACTTTTACTAGGTTTTTACTTTTACTTTAAGTAAATTTACAAGCCTGTACTTTGTTACTTTTACTTGAGTAAAGAAGTTTAATAAGTACTTCCACTTTTACCAGAGTATTTTTTAACACAAGTATCTGTACTTTTACTCAAGTACGGAAAGGGAGTACTTTTGCCATCTCTGGCCAAGACCAATATAGAATCCACAACACCAAGAGAAAGGTCGAATCTTTGGAATTTGAATTTGGGAATATTGTTTTTTTTTCCCTAAAAACATAAGATAACATTTTATAGCACAAAATTAATCTAAGAATTATTAGATGTCCAATTAATGCTACTTATTCATATTAAATAAGAAACAATTTCTACACAACTGTATAAGCGCAACATTCTAATGCCCCATACCACAATCTGTGCAAATATTCTTGTGTATAAATATTTTTCTCTATAACTGCACAGTCCTTTTATATTGTTTTTGTAATATTTTTTCCTTTTTTTGGACAATTTGCCTGTACTGTATTGTTTTATATTGTTTTGAGCTGCTAAAACATTTTGTTGTACACTTGAGGAACAATGACAAATAAAGACTTCTGGTTCTTCTTCTGATTCTAGATCAAGCTAACAAGTTATTGAAAGCAACCATGCATTAATACTTACTAATTTAAAATGTACTTTTAAAAACATAGTCTGACATATATCATTACTGATCAGAAAGAGTGTATATTAATAGTACTGTAAAGCACTTTTTTTGTAAAACTTAGATAAATTGGTACATTATGATTTATTTTAATAAGACTGAATATGCTAGGGGAAAAAAAGGCATTTGTTTAACGCCTGCACAGTGTTTGCTTACTCTACGCTAACGGCTGGTTAGCTGGATGGATAAAAATGCATTCTTTGGTCAAAGACCAGATGATATATTATTATTGATATTTTTCTGATGCTACACAGAGTGCATAAGGAATTTTCTTTAAAATATATTTTTTTTCTTTTACTTGAAATGGCAGCATGCAACTATATTCACATTACTTAAGTCAATTTGGCTTGAAATTTAGTTTGCTCCTTTTTTACTGATGTGGACCTGAAGCAAAAGTCAGGTTCTATTTCTGAGTAACTACAGGCTTTTGGACGATCCCAACAAAATTTTTTAAACCAATAATACAAGACAGAACTCAAGAAAGAGGCATCTTCTTCTGTGACAAAGTTTGTTCTTGAGTCCTCCATCCCTGGATATGATGGCTGCTAAACAATGACTTTGTTAAACTTAAGCCCCTTTGTAACTAATCAGGTATCATGCTTACGGTTGGTGTCCCTTTCAGAAGACCCATTTCAGCCAAAAATTTAAATCAACTTCTTCCTCAAAAGTTTTATGACTTTATCTTTAATGGCCAAATATAAATATTTAATCAAGACATGGATTTTCTATTAAAAAAACAAAGATGTTTTGAGATCAAGTGTCTAAGTTGACATTTTCTGGGGACGAAAGGTAATAAAAAAATGTAACTAAAAATTTTGTGCAGAGTGACTCTAGTTTCTCACATTAACTTTAATGGTAGGAGGTGATTGAAAAAACAGTTTCAATGAAAATAAAAAAAACTCACCTGAAAGGCATTCGGATATTCATGAGCTCTGCATAGCGACAGAGAACATCCCACGGTGCATGCAGTTTCAGGAAAATCACATCGCTGTTTGTTAAACAAGCCTGTGCAGGGTGGAAAACAGACATGGAGAAAACAATTTCAGCACCCAGGACAGCTACTTTTCCCCAGGTTGCTCAGGAATGTCTCCTCTAACACAGCACCATGCATATTGTACTCATCTCAGCACTTTAGGTCCTTAAATTTCTATCACACTCCATCCATCTTCTCCTGTTTATTCCATTATACAATACTTTTATGTAGTTTTATGCCTCTACTATGAACCTGATGCTGATTGGCTGCTTTCAAGCAAAATATCTTTGGTAACACTGATCACAGATACAATGGTTTTAGAATCTCTAAAAGTACATGGGAGGCAGATCTTTTAGCTTATGCAGCTATAGGCTTAGACTGGTGGAGGACATAGGGACCACTTTTCATCTTTCTGATTTATTATATTTCTTTTTACCAATTTGCCATTTTGGTTATTTAAAACCATAACTTTATATTCTCTGTTATTTTATCACAGTAGCCTTACCTGATCCTATTTGGCTGTGAGATCATCCTGGAGGAAGTCAAAAACTGGGGTTCTGTCACCAACAACTTTAAGTAAAATAAAAGTGTTGGGTCTGTTTTTCTGTGTTTACTCCTGTTTCTCTCCCATGGACTCAGCGTTTATGGAGACTAACTGTATGTGCTCTCTTTATTTCATTTTTATATGAAAAGCCTAAGAGTCCATCTGCTTAACTGTTTCTTTTCTAGGCAGAGCCACTTATGGACCTAGTTAGCTGTTACCTTTTCTAACATAAAAAGTATTCATGGATTATAATTTTTTTTTAAATAGATTATTGCTTCTATGTTCCCTTTTGTAATGGCTTAAACTACCCATTCGGCGTCAGCAGAAAGCCGCTCGCACTGGGCCTGGTTCTGCCGAAGGTTGCTTTGCATTTAAAGGGAGTTTTGTTTCCCTCTACTGTTGCTGTATGCATGCTTGGTGTGAGGGATTGCTGTAGAGTCACTGAAAAAATGCTAGAGAATATCTACTCTCCACACATACTCATCGAGGAGGATTAAATGTTGCAAAGTTAATGACTTGGTAGCAATCAGCTGGCTTTCCTTTGATAGATTTTTAACCACTCTGACTGTATGATAAAAATTGTCTCTGGAAAGTTCCTTCAGAAAGCATTTGTTGTGAATCAGTGCTACATAAATAAACTAAGTTCTTGTCAAAAGGTTGAAAATGCTTTCTTTTATTTTTTTTACCTCTTTTTCCAAGCGCAACCCTTCAGCACGGATGTTCCGCTCAAATATCTCCCTCTTCTCAGACTGGGAGCTGGACTTCCTGTAAACCAGGATGTAGTCTATGAGACTTTTTCCATCGCTGAAGCAAAGACCAGTGGATTTCGCACTCCTCTATGGACAAAAAGTCACAGAGACAATTGTTCTAGTTCTGTTGGAAATTGTTTTTCTTATTCATTTATCTTACTGGCAGGGTGCTGTACCTCTGGGATGTCTAATTGTGATTTGCTGTTTTCATCAAGGATGCTGCTGTGAGTTCCAGGGTTCTGAAGGGTAGCGTCATCATCTCTGGATGGGCTGCTGATGCCATCTGATGTTTCTTTCTGTAGCACCACATTAATGTCCTTCACAGCTAATTTATGATAAATAAGAAAATAAAATGACCTGTTAAAGAAGATCCCCATTTTTCATTTTTCATGCTCGACTCAAACTCTCACCCAGTTGAGGGACATTGCCTTGAATGCTGGAATCCGAGGTTTCAGCCGAGGTCTCCTTCATGACGTCCTCCCTCTCACAGTACAGGAAAACGAGAGGTCTGTCTGCTGGCTGGTAACCAGAGGCAGAGGGCTGCAGCAGCTCTCTGTGTTGGTGGGGGCTCTGCTGCTTGGGCTCAGATCCATGTAGGGACAAACTCACATCTGCAAAAACACAAGGAAGCTCACCCGGAGTTTTTCTTTGTGCCTTGCCCTTATGGGACAAAAAATAGAAAATTATACACACTATGTGCTTTGTTCTTTTGATATGAAGGGATTCAGAGTTATAAAAGCACTTCTCTCTGCTTTAAAGAGAAATAGAATATTTATTCTATTCCATTCCATTATACTGGTTCTAAATATCATCCCTATTCTTAGACATGCATTCAGGGTTTTATTTTTTTTGTTAACTATGCAGCTTTATTCCTTCATGCTGAGGAAACAAAAATGGCTACCAGCTAATCCACCAAATACGAAGCAACATTTTTCCATTGTGCTGGTCCAGAATGTCTATCAGGGTACACCAAGGAGACGGTTAACCGTCCGTCTCTACAGGATCAACAAGAGGACAATGCAGAAACAATCAACCAGAAACACTGTAGTAGAGATTTTGCCTATTTTGTAGCATATTTTGTCCTTTATAACAGGAAAAGAATGCAATATATCTGCTTCTTGTGAGTTTGAACACTGGGAGACAGATCACTAACCTACAGGGTGGATTCAATTTTATAAGGACCAGTGCTTCTAAAAAGGATAATTGGACCTTGGATAATCGAGCAGGTTTGTTGTTTTCTTTTTATAAACAAATAAATAAAAAGGCGGTTTTCTTTTATCATTAAATACCTCTTACTTATCTTTTATAGGAGGTTCAGAAATACAGACTAAAGCATTTTTTGCAAAGGACCAGAAGTTTTGGAATAAGTTTTTCGGGACAGATGAATCTAAAATGTATATTTTTCTTTGTTTTTGTCTAGATTGTTAATATTGCCACAATCTATGGTTCTTTTACAAGGTAGTGATGGAACATAAGAATTATAAGTATAAATGAACTCCTGAAACAAAATAAATTATATAAGACTTTTTTTTTTTTTTACCTTATTTTTGAAATCTTGGTAAGATCTAGAGATGCGGACAATAAGTCAGCATACTTTTTCAAACATCTGATGTTATGAAAGAGCACAAGAACTTTTAGCCAGGGAAGACTAAAAATAAGCAGCCTGCAAGAATCGCTTCTTAGGGAAATTTCCCAAATAAGGGAAGAGATTACTGTGTTCATTAATGGTAATATAATTGTGTTTATTAAAACACATACACGTCTCTTTATAATCTCAAACATAATCTCAAGAAACTTGCTGAGTAAGCAAATTACAGTTATAATCTTTCAACTAATAATCATTCATTTGACCCTCGATTTGAATTACTATAACTTCCAAATCTAGCTATTTAATATATTCATAATCTTCTGGTAAACTTGCACATCACTAATAGTGAAAAACAAGACAGTTTTATTCATAATGCACAATACATGTACTGCAGTTTTCCTACATCAACTCACTGCAGTTAAAAGAGCTTAAAAGCACAAAAAGCAGAGAGAATTAAATAAACCCTTTATGGACAGGTATTCCTGGATTTAACCAATAAGGCCAAGTCAGGTCTTATTTCTTTCTCCTCTTAAAAAGATATATATATATATATATATATATATATATATATATATATATATATATATATATATATATATATATATATATATATATGCTGCATATATCAATGGTAATGGCAATAATAACATTAAAAATCTCCGGTATCCCAAAGTATAGGAGTCAGTGGTAATCCATATTTGGCTTCAGGACAAGTGGATAAATGTGGATCCCTATTAAAATTGTGCATAAAATCTATTTCCCGAAGAGCAAAATATGTACAGGTTTTTATAAGTGGTCTACCGCTTCAAAAGGCCCTCTGCCTTAATGTTTTTTTTTTAAATCTCTATTATAATAGTTTTCTTTCAACCAGAGTAACACCTACATATATAATTTGTTTTTAGTCTAGCCAAAAGCCTTAAATTAACTCAATACTCAATCTAATCGAGTCATTTTCTTTCTTTTTTTTACGTGCAGTTTTTGATGCCTGACTATATTGTCACACCAGTGTGACTCAGCTGTTTTTTTTCTGCTGAAATGTAGTAAGAGAGTCAGAATTGGGGAAAGCCGTGGAACACAGGAGCCCATGGATGCAGCAGAGTAAGACATGAAACGAATGCTCAGCATAGTCTTCTTTTATGGGGTTCTGCTTTGCTGGGTTTTAGCTAATTAAATCCGAGCTGAATCAAAGAGCAAGCTAAAGCTGCTGTCACATTGTAAGCTATTTTACCATGTAAGCTGGAATATTAAAGAAAAAAAAAGGTGTTAGGATTGGTAAAACAAGGGGAAATTAAGCTGAAACATTGAAGTTTGTGTGTTGCTTCTGATGCCATCATAGTGCATTAATTTTAGGATCACTTTTACTATAACAGGACAGAGGACATTGCTCCATTTATGATGCCACTATTGCTCCTTATTCATCTTTTATAACATTTGTCCTACATTTATGCATTACCTTACCCTTTCTGAATGGAATGCTTTAGAGTAGCACAAAGCTGTAGCACAATTAACTACATGAACCAAAAAATAGGCCTTTCCATCAGTTTCACTTTGAGTTTCAAGCATTATGTCTGCTGAGGTGAGGGAATCTTCATCAGTGGATACAAAAGCATCTGCATAGTTAAGTGTGAACAATTAGCAACATTAGCAGTATTAATAACATTGTGAATGATCTAATAAAACAGAAAGTGTTTTATTTACTTTAGTTAAAAAGTAGAATTATAAGATTAGATTTTTGTCTTAATTGTAAAAATAAAGGAATAATATGACAATACTTTTTCAAGGGATTCAGACAGAATGGCAGATATTGCTCAGTTTCTAGAGGATAGTAGCTCTCACAGACATCAGAAATTTTTTTGTCCATTTTACTAAATATATAAGGTATTGACGACTCTCAAGATGGAAGAACCATTTCATTTAAAGGAATAGTACACCCAAAACATGATTAGCCTTCATTTTCTACTCACCCCCATGCTGAACAACACTCTGGAGTACTTTTTTGATATCTCAAATGCATCTGGAGATCTGGGAGGCTTCTTGCTGTCTGCTGACATTCAAATAATGGAGGTCTATGTTGCCGAGACAGAAAGGTCCATAAAAGTCCACAAAAAACGTGTCAATATTCCTCCATACTGCTCGTCCAATGTATTCCAAGTGTCCTGAGTGGGTAGCATCCAGAATTTACTCAAAACGAAGTCATTTAGAATGTTTTTAGAGCATAAACAGTAGTGTATAGGATTTCCTAAAAGCGCGCGCCTGCGAGTCCAGGACGCTACGGAAACCGTGGCAGACCAAAGCAGATGAAAGTGCGCATTCGGCTCGGCAAAGAACTCATGCTCTTCCTCAACACTGAAGTCCTCAGACATTTTTCTTTCGTTGTTTCTTTCTTTGCACAGGTAAACAGCACATTTCTTCTTCTACGCTTGCATTATCGGCAGAGCAGACACTGAATGCGCACTTTCATCTGGTTTGGTCTGCCGCGGTTTCTGTAGCGTCATGAACGCGCCGGCGCGCGCTTTTAGGAAATCCTATACACTACTGTTTATGCTCTAAAAACATTCTAAATGACTTTGTTTCGAGTAAATTCTGGATGCTACCCACTCAGGACACTTGGAATACATTGGACGAGCAGTATGGAGGAATATTGACACGTTTTTTGTGGACTTTTATGGACCTTTCTGCCTCGGGCGCCATAGACCTCCATTATTTGAATGTCAGCAGACAGCAAGAAGCCTCCCAGATCTCCAGATGCATTTGAGATATCAAAAAAGTACTCCAGAGTGTTGTTCAGCATGGGGGTGAGTAGAAAATGAAGGCTAATCATGTTTTGGGTGTACTATTCCTTTAATATAACAAAAGTTTTTATAAACAGGATTACAAACTAAAGCTCTAACTTCCACTATTCAATGCATTAATGACGCAAAATACCTTTGGAACCACAAAAACTTAACTCCCACTTTCATTAGTGGAAACTGAACTGTTTCCTATAAAAGTTAGCTGTCAGGGGACTACGGCATTATATATTGGCGTACATTATGCTTCCAGCCTGCATCCCACTGTTACAGGTCAAACAATGTGACCATCAAACTTTAACAGTGCGACTGCAAATGTGTAACACAAGCCACATCTGAGGCCACATGAACTGAAAGGAACAGACATAAAAGAAAAGGTAATCTGATCTCAGTTTCACCGCATTCTCTGTCATCTACTTGTAAGTTTGTATATACATATAGTTTGTAAAGACAGATCTGAATTTATTTTATTAAGTTGTCGATCCATAATGCGTAGGTGTTAGTAAAGGTTATTAGTGGGAAATTACAATAGACTTGTGGCTCTTTAGCCAATTCCATTAATGTTTTTTACTTATTTTAAAGATTGTCTTCAGGGTGAAAATATCCTACTAAACCATTTTAAACTGTGGTATTGCATCATTTGCTGGTTCTTTAACGCCGTCAATGTACTCATATGAAAATCTTAATTAGAAAAAAATTAAGTGTTATATCCAAGGCTTAAAACCAGTACCCAAAAACATAGGTACTTTAAGCTAATTAAGGCTTTTGTGTCCAATTAAAACCCCCAAAAAGAGAATAAAATATACTAAATAACTATTTATTATATGCAATGTGCAACAATGTGTTTCCACCATTATGCTGTGGGTTTAAGCTGAGGTAAATACGGTCCTGCAGATCATAACTAAAATCTGTTTTATTCTGTGAGGCTTGTGTTACAGATGAATAATTACAAACTTGAATGGTTTTGCAATCTACCCTTTAGATAGAAGAGGGTCTTTTTCAGCCAACCATTTCAAATAGTCAAGCTTTTCTCGGTTTTTTAGCCTTTCTGACACAAATTTGAACATTTAAAACACTAACTTGTAAAATCGGAAATGTGGGATTTTTGCAAATTTACCCACGAACAAAATTTTAATAAAAGACTAGATTTACTAAAAGTGCAAGATACATAACATGGCGAACATGGACTCATCCTGGGATATGGGTATGTTGCTATTTGTATGTAGCTTGTAGATGTTAGCAGTAGTGTTGCACCGATACCGATACCAGTATCGGACAGGGCCCCGATACTGCCCTAAAATGGTGGTATCGGTATCAGTGAGTACAAACAAATAGGGCACCGATACCATTTTGAGAGCCATAAGTTTATTCAACTATTGTCACCCACTCCTGGTAGGCAATAAAAAGTTCTACTGGATTCACTTTGTATTAGATTTTTTCCTGCTTCACAAAGGTAGGCAGCAGCTTGACAAAAAGCCATGATGGCAATTAG